TGCCATCACTGTAGATATTTAGGAAGATAAAGAACACTAGAGACTTCTACTAAAATCCACTCGTATACTATGTAGACCCATGTAAAGCAAGCAAGGCAAACCTCACACATTCATACAACTACACATGTTCAGTTTATAATGCCTAACCTTTATAGTAAAGTACTTCAGCCAAAGCATAAAAAAATAACAAAAATCACAACCCTTTAGTACAAAAATAAAACAATGCCTTTCATAACAGTTTTCAGTTTAGAAAACTGTGTAAAGATGACAATTTACACGTCCTAAAGCTTGCAAAATAAGCCTTGAGAGTACCTAAAAGTTGCAAGTATAGAAAATCTAATTCCCACATAATACTAAGTTGTCCTGAGTATTAGATTTTCCTTACTGTTTTCACTTCCATTTAAATATTTATTCATATAATACCTATAAATCACGAGTCCCTTACGTAACTCCTCTAACAATTCCCTGTGAAGGAACTAAAATGATCACCAGGCATCAATGAAAGGTTAAGGTAGTCCTTCTCCCTGGGAATGAGAGTGAAAATGACAGGCAAAAAACAAAAAAAACCTGTTTCCTCTTTGAAAAAATTCTGCAAACTGTCCCATTTAAACCTTAATTTAGAAAAACCCTCTAACTTTTTTCCTTGAAAAATGGAAAGAAAAATTTTAGCACACACTGCTAGCAAGATCTGTTATAAACAAGACAGGCAGTGTTCAGTGATCCACACATTCAGTGGAATTGAGCAACAATTTGCACTCTGCTTTAAATGAGCTGGGTATAATGAAGCTTCCTATATTCTAGGCATTTCACTACTCAATTGTCAGTACATAACCACTTTTAAGGTCTATATTATAGAAAGCAATTTCTATAGAGTGTGGGCGTACAAAATTTCAAATATTTTCCTCCAGCTTTTAAATGCTTTCCATCTTAGAGGTTCAATTCACTACACTTCTTGGAAAGATATACACATGAAATCTCTTTCAGAAAGAGCAGAACCTCAAAACAGGCCTGTGCTGATGTGATGGCTGGGTGGCTCCCTGCACTATCACTTTGTAATGATATGGACACACACGCTGATACACTTTTTGGCATACCTGTCTCTTCTGTATTATGAGATCCTTGGGGACGGGGATACGTTTTATTTCGTCTTCATACTTACAAGAAACTTAGCACTGTGCAGGGCATGTGGGAGGTACTCATGTGAGAGGTTTCGATAGTCTGCTGAATAATAGGAGTGAAGCATCAATGAGAGCTCCTTATGATTATAAGCACTTATGAATTAGCAACATTTTAATTTAAAGATGGTCTATTTTACAGACACATGAAAATAATTCCTGTAATGAATTCAAATGTATAGTGCAGTAAAAAATATAGAAATACATAGTGTTTTCCAACGGTATATACTCAATTTAAAGGTAGCTACAGTTGCCACCTTCTGTATACCCTGCTTCTACCTTTCTAGGCTTCTGCTATTGCTAATCTGGTTCCTGATATTGGCTGGGATTGGCAATAATGACCATTTGGAAGTGCTAAGAAGAATGGAGAAAGTCCAAGAAGACACTGCCCAAGAATGACATAAGACAAAGCTGAAACCAGATCTTCAGGTATTACTGACAATGGTTTCTGGGAGAAGAACCAACACTAGAAACGCTTTTATTATTTTTTCTACAGGATGATCTGTGCAAACATAAATGTACCTATATAGGGGACAAATTCACTATATAAGCCAAGGATAAGAAACAAAAAATGAACAAAAAAGGTCTTTGGGCAGCCAAAACAGTGGCTACATAGTTCACATATTAATATTAACAGAATGGTCAGCAGAACCAACCAAGCCAAATGTCATTGTTTTACATTCAATTTCAGGAAGCAGAGTGATCTGAGTTTCTTCTACTCCATAGAAGACCAGAGCTGTAGAACTTTCCAACTCCTGAAAGAGATAGGTTTACTATTAAAAGCACATTTGGGCCAAGGATTTAGCTCAGTGGTGCCGCCACCTGCCTCGAAAGCACAAGGTCCTGAGTTCAATCCCTGGTACCAAAAAAAAAAAAAAAGCAGAGGGGACAAACAACCTACATTTCTCAGTCATTCAAACCCTTACTCAATTACTATCAGTAAAGGATACTAGTAATCATTACCTTGGACAATAAAAGAAATGGTTAAACTACATTGTTTAAAAAGTCAAAACAGACTGTAAGAACTTTTCCATTCCATAAAGAGTATAGCTAAAATAAGAATTCTACATGTGCTTTATTTCCCACCAACATTGGATAAATGAGACATGGCTACACACATCCAGCAGGTCAACATTTGAGAGATGAAATGACAGACTTTATTGCCTCATCCCGCTCTTGGTTCTGTCCTCTGTACACACTCATAATTTCATATTCCTTGGCCTCCTTTTATAAGGTACCCAAATTAGCACCCTCTCCTCTCAAGGGGTTGTTACCTTGCCACAAAGTACAGATCTCGAACACACACCAAAGTTCAATGACTCTTTTTTGCCTCAGCCTCTGATCTCTATCTCTTACTGGGATGACAGATGTACCCTCAAGATTCTTTAGGTCCAGACAGACATTTCTTCTTCTGTTTTCATTAAAGAAAAGAAATGAGAAGATCTCTGCATTACATTCTCTTCTAGGCAACTGTAGCCGTCATGCTGACATTAAGTTGGCCAAAGCTGGTTTCAGGAGCAAAGTAAGGCCTTCTGTTCTGTACAACAGGCCCTCACTAATGAATTCACTAGTCCTTGGAGATGACAGAGGCAGATTAGGGAGGAAGAGAGATGTGGAAAGTGTGGAAGGAGGATCTACCAGAAAACCCACCTTCAATTTAAGGACAAAAGAAGAAAAGTTGATGCTATTGATGTGACCATTACCAACATTACCAACATTTTCAAAAGGAATCTGAAACATATTTTTTGGCTTTTTCTTTTCTTTTTATAAAAAGACTATTAAACAATTTAAAATTTGCACTAAGATATTTCTGCTTCCCTATTTTCCACCTATTAATTCAACAAACAAGTATTTCCTACACACCTACTATGCATTAGCCACTATTAGGTACATTAACTATTATAACAAAATGTGTGAAATCATGGCTTCCATCCCAATCCACAAAACGACCAGGCATTCTGCTCCAGAGTGACCTGGTTTAGAAGGTTTAGAAGACTCTCTTGCCAGGTGAGGTGGAGCACACTTGTAATCCCAGCACTCAGGAGGCTGAGGCAAGAGGACTGCCTCAAGTCTGAGGCCAGCCTGGGCTACATAATGAGTTAAAGTCCAGCTTGAACTACACAGCCAGACCCTGTTTTTAAAAAAAATCTTTTTTTTACTGTTTGTAACTGTGAGCACAGAATACAAACAGCAGTCTCTTGCTTCTATTATGATATGGTAGCAATCACCAAGAGACAACCACTTTGCTATCTATTTTAAAAAGTTAACAATTTAAGAGCTGAAATTTCTAGTTTTAAGGTTTACACCACTGAAACAATAGTCACACAAAGTGCAGAAAGCTGAAGTCTGCCCTGAAGGCAAAGGAAAGAAAATTTCATCTAGGAATTCAAGATTTAGAGGACACAAAAATTAATTTAGGGCCAGGAATGTAGCTAAATGGTGCCATGCTTACCTGGCAAGGTCCAGAGTTTGATTCCCAGTACAAAAAATTAATTTAACATAATAATTTAATTTTAGATTCCTGAGTCTAGGCAAATAATTAAGCATCTTTACTACCTATACCTCAGTTTCTCAATGATATGTCTAGATAACAGATAATATATGTGGAAGTGCTCTAAGCTTAGCTCAAATGTCCTGTGTAAATTCAAGCAAAGTCTGGAATACAGAATCACACTGAGGTCACCAGCCCAATTTAAAAAATCAACCACGGGGAAATTTATGTATGACTTTACAAGAATTATAGGCATGGTTAACAAATAGCAGTTTTAACTTTATGAAATTACAGATCTATAAAATCCTCAACTTTAATAGCTAGTGCCTTCCCTCCAGGTGAGAAATCAAACTTCCAAAGGGAAACTGGTAGCGTGGGGATGATACTGATTATCTGGACCTAGATCCTAGCGGCAGTATCGAGCATCTCTCCTTTTCCAAAATTATAAATTCCTTACCCATACTGATGTTGATGTGGCCTGTAAAAGGTCGAATTCCACGATGACCATCCATCCCTGCCCTTCCACTTTCCATCTACAGTAACATTTTTCTACTTCTCTTCCTATCTGGAGACTGATAACAGAAGGCTGATTAAAATGTCTCCTATCAGACCCCACAATCAAGGACACAGCCTGACAACTTCACGCTCATCACTAATGGCAACGTTTCGGCTTGCTCTTAATTGCCAGGCTACCACACCCGGAAATGAAATCTCCAGTGCAACCCACTTTGGACTATCACATCATCTCCTTAAATTGTGCCCCACTGTGAGCGCCAGATGCACGACCCGAGGAGCCCGCGGGCCAGGGGCAAGGTTGTCCTCGCCTCCAGCCTCGGGCCTGCAGGCCACTTGTGCTACTCGGCCACGAGGCGGGCCCCGTGGAGACCCCACAAGTGAGCGCTCCTCTCCGGCAGCTGCCACTGGCGTCTGTCAGGACACTAAGGCGGAACCCGGGCCAGTCCTCTGGGGACTGTGATCGGCGCGAGAGCTGGTCACCAGAAAGACCCTGGCCACCAGAAGCGGCCCCAGGTAAGGCCCGCGCCTCAGGCAGCCCAGGAAGGCGGTAGCCGAGGCCGCGTCCCGTCAGCCACGACCGTCCGTAGGGACGAGCGCCCCGGGCCGGGCTCCAGACAGCCATGGTTCCCGCCCAGGAGACGCCGCGACCGCCCCGACTCCACGCAGAGCACCCGCGCCCGGCCCCTCGGGGAGGCGCCCCGCCCCCAGCGGCCCCCCCGCCGGGCGCGCGCCCCGCTCCGCGCCCCGCCCGTCTGCACTTTCCCGCCAGCCGCGCCGGGGCGGGGGTCGCGCGCCTTCCCCGACCACACGCCGCTCACCTGTCCGGCCCTAGGCTAGCTCCATGACCTCCCGCGCGGTGTGGTGCGGCGCGGCCCCGGCCGCCCCCGCCACCTCCGGGGAGGGGCAGCCCCACGCCGCTCTCAGGGCCGCCTGCCGCCGCCACCACTGCGGTTCCCGCCCACCCCCCGCCGGGCCATTCCGCAACTGCCTCTCCCCAAGCTGAGCCGGCCGCCCCACACCTGCCCCCCCCGCCTCCGCGGCCTCCGACTGTTGGTACGGTCCTAGCGGAACGCCTTCCCCACAGCCAATCCAAGGGCTTACTTGGCGCTTCCCCGTCCCCGAACCGCCTACCAGTAGGCGGGCCCTACAGGACTGATCCAGGCTGCCCTTCTTAACCCTTTCCCTCTCGTATTTCCTTGGGTTAACTCTATATGCACCGGTCCTTGACTCTGTGTGTTCCCTTCGCACCCCGCTAATAAAAACTGGGCTTTGGCTTCTCTTTTACCTTTGCTTTTTCTTTCCTGGTTTTCTCAGTCAGGCAGCCAGGCAGAGGGACTGGAGAGTTACAGTCGCTTAAGTAAAGTTCTGTTTACGAGAAGCGATTTCCTTCCTCCTTTTGCCCTTTTAATTTGTCTTGACTTCTGCCTGAAAGTTCTGCCGATCTAAACGTATCCTCCTTTGACCGAAAGAGGCCAGCCTTCCTACACGGAGCGCAAATCGCTTTTCCTTCAGACCAGATCTCTCTGCTACACAGGAGCATTTAATAAAAATCATGAATCGTTTACTGTAATATTAGTTATTTTACGTATGTCTCTGGCAATGGACTGTAAGCCTTATGAGAACAAGTTTGTCGCATTTTGGTCCCCAATGCCCTGCCACCCACTGGTCTCAAGATAAAAGATTTGAATGAAAGTTTCTCCCTCCCCTTGTTTTCCACTGACTCCATAACGAGCACCCACTGTATAACGCATTCATTTATTCATTCATTATATAGTAAGCTTGCACTTAGTGTGCCTGACCCTGAAATGTTACAATTCATGTTGCCCCACGGGATAATGTTTGTGTATAGAGGGGCTGGGAACTGAACTGGTCCTTTTTTTAAGAGGGCAAGACAGCTGAGCTTTTTTTTTTCAGACCATATAATTCATTGAAGTAGCAAAGTGTATTGGAAAGAACTCTCCCTTACTGGCTGTATGATATTGGGTGAGCATTGTTTTCTTTATCTAGAAATGAGAGAACCTGGTTCATGGGGTTGTTGTGAGGAATAAATAAGGAAATGTGTGGGGAAAGTACTTGCAAATTATTGTGTAAAGTTAGTTGTTATTCATGCATATATTGAGCACTTTCTAGCAGGAGATCCCAGAGAAATGATTGGACTTGACACCCACCCAAGACAGTCTAGGTAGGAAGGCAGCATTAATCACATAGGAGCATTAATCACTGCAGGAAATGTACAGTCTGATGCAGAAGGCATCATACCAGCTTTTTACTAGATGTAGTTGAAAAGGTTTGAGGGTCATTATCTGACCATGGAATACATAATTCTTGGGGAAATGAGCTGGACTGTAAAGAGAACCTACCTTATTTCTCTACATGGGAGCGTAGGTCTGTTTACAGTCGGCTAATCTCCATCAGAGGATCATAAAGCAAAAGGGTAAGCCAACAATTCCCCTAAGACACTTTACCACAAACCATCCTTTCTTCTCTGACAAGGACAATGAGGAAGAACTTTCCACCTGTCACTGCTCAGAAGGTCAGCTCACCCTGCAGCCTCAGCGTTCTAAACAAATGCTGTCATTTAAGGATTTTCAGAGAGGGAGGCATCATACTTGAGGACAGACATATTTCCTCTTCTGTCCTGAGAGATGGAGAGCCTTGGGTACTGGACTCTGTGTAAAGCCTTTCAGAGAGCAAAATCGTTCCATCTCCCAGTTTTTCCTTCTACTTGACCCAGGCTCTGTGTGACTCTTTCCAAGCACCAGCATCATGTCGGATACTCTGTAACCTCAGTTTCTGCCCCCTCCTCCAGTCACAGTATCAACAATCCACATATTCTAAGTGCTGTGAGCAATGCAATCATTCAAGAAGGGAGTTTGCATGACTAGCACACAGGAAGCAGCTGCATAGAATACAGGACACTTAAATTGTATAGCACAGACTCTGTCATTGCTGAAAGAATCAGAGTCCAGGAAAATAGTGTGGGCTGGTTGTTGGCAGGAAGGGAGGACTGAGGTGAGCAAAATGAGGATGGGAGGAGAGAGGAACAATGCCAACTCAGTACTATGTGAATTTATAACAGACATCCTGAGCAGATAATGCATGACAGGAGAAGTGTTCATTTGCTCATTCATTCATTCATTTCAAGAATGTTACCAGATGCCAGGCACTGAGCTAGACCCAGGTCGTGCAGAGATGAATAAAGCTGGGTCCCTATCCTTGAGAAGTTTAATAAGCTAGGTGGACCCCCTCTCCCCGACCAAGGAAGGTCAGATCACTTTGTCAAGACTCCTGTGATGATCTTTTCACCACTCACACGGTGTACTGTGTTTGCAGATGTCTGTCTGATTTCCTCTTTGCCTCTCTCTCCCCTGTCCTTAAACTGCAAGACTCTGCAAGACACAGGCTGTGACTTTATTTTCTCTTTCTTCCCCCCACTTGTGGACTACCTTCTCTGCACTGATGTGCAACAGTGCATTCAGTGCAAGAATTTGGCTGTCCCCCTCAGCTGAGGGCAGTGGACAGCCTCACAGAGGAATTTTGGTTACTAGCCCTAGTGTGGAACCCCACTAGAGGCTTGTTAGTGGTCTGCAGAATTCAATAGAAAGTCTGTTGCTTGGCATTTACAGTCCCATTGTGCCTTTCCAGGCCTATTTTTGGTGTATTCCTTATCCTCTGCCCTTTAAGGCTCACTTGCTCTCCTTTCTCTCACCCGCATGGCTATGATCATACTGACTCTTCCTCTGGGGTCCTACCTCACCACCCACATGTAGAAATGTGAAATCTCAATGCCACTTTTTCATGAAGGCCTTCATGGCATTTCCAGTTGCACATGCTTTTCTTGCCTTCTGAGAACCAGCATTTTTTTTCATTTTTATTTTTTTGCACCACTCTGGCATATGGTTTGTACTGAAGCCAGGGATCTGACATTGTTCCCGTGGGCTCTAGAGCCTTCAATGCCTAGGGCAGTATTGTGCTGACATCTGTGTCTGCCACAGGGCCAACAATGTACATGGTAGATAAGACGTGTGAGAAGAGAAGTTTGAGAAGAGCTGGTCCTGCAGAGTTGGGGAACAGAGCACTGGGGGCTCATTGCCTGCCCTCTTCATCATTGTAAGCATTTTCAAAAACAATTTCAGAATTTCCAAGTCTCTGCCAATTTGCCAAACTCCAGGATTGTAGTAGCAGTCCAGAAATCCCCAGGTATAAAGGGGAGTATTGTCTTAAGGTTCCTGTACATGTGAAGGCAGCACATGTACATTTTCTTTGAACTCAATTAATACACCCACAATGATGGATCCCCCTGAAACTAATTAAGTGAGTTCTACATCAAGCAGGTCCAGGGGAATCCTAGGAAAGCTTGCCCCATTTCGAGGTGCTAGAATCCTGGAAAGAGGATGACAGGGAGGATTAGTGAGTGAAGAAACACATGTATCCTTCTAGTTCCCAGCCAGGAGCATGTGCATTGGGTGCTCTGGAGACAGTGGCTTCTGCATTCCTTTCCCAGGAGAGCAAATGCATTTCTTTCATTTTCCCATCAAGCTCTGTAGTGCTACTCCAAATTCTCCCCTTGATGATGGCAGTGGACTGCCAGTTAAGCTTTCTGTCAATGCAATCTGAGTGAATGCCCATGTCCCAGGGACAGTATCATACACACATATGTTGCACATCCCGCTTCTCTGCTAAGACATTCAGGCCATGGGTTCCAAAAGTGGGAGAAATCTTTCAGTTTTTTTCTACTCTGGTAATATTTTTAAAAGAATAAGTTGCATACCCTAAAACTCATGTATTTAAAGTGTACAATTCAATGCCTTTTAGTAGATTTACAGAGTTGAGCAACCAGTACCATTATCTAATTTTAGAACATTTTCACCACCCCCAAAAGTAATATAGGCTATTTTTTCTTTTATTCTGAAAATACATTTATCTATCTAATTCTGGTTTGAAAATCTTTATAGTAAGAGCAAAAAGGAAAATACAGTAAGAGGGAGGTTAAACTCCTAGAGTTGGTTAAGAATGCAGGAAAATTCACGGCTCTTAACACTGTACTTCACTTAAATGCCATGTATGGTGACAGTAATTTAAAAAACACTCTACATTGTGCTTTTTGTTGGGGTGTGTATTCCTCAGTAAATGTCCAAGGCCATATCTAAACATTTTCTTGTTTTGCTGGAGAATCCAACTAATACAGATTTAATGAAATGTACTGAATGTTTGTGTTCCTCATGAATTTATATGTTGAAGCCTAAATCCCCAGTGTGATGGTATTTAGAGGTGGGGCTTCTGGGAGGTAGCTATGCCATGAGTGTAGAACTCTCATGAATGGGATCAGTACCCTTACAAGAGAAGACAGACAGATGATCTCTCTCTGCTCTTTGCCATGTGAGAACAAGATGGTCATTTGCAAATGACAAAGCAGGTCATTGTGAGACACCCAATATCTACCGGCACCTTGATTTTGTACTTCCCAGCCTCCTGAACTGTGAGAAATCAATTTATCTCTATGGTAACCTACTAGAGCAGCCCCCATGCAATCTATTCTATATAATCCTTATAGAAAATACTCCTAGGAAGAGCTTTCATAAAGAAAACCATAATCATATAACTGCTTACAACCATTAGAGACTCAAAGAATAAAGCCCAAAGTTCTTAGCAGAGTATATGAAACCTTCAGGGCCTGTGATGGTCAGGGTGGAGTTTCAACTTGATTGGCTTTGGTATCCACCCTAGGGATTGGTGGAGCATCCTGGGGATTGGTGGAGCACCCTAGATGGACCATGGAGCTGTGACCTTGGGAACTATACGTGGTCGCCAGCCCCTTCCTCTCTAGAACTCTTCCCCTGCTCTGCATCTCAACTGTCATGAACTAAACAGCTTTGCTCCACCATGTCCTTTCACCATGATTTCTTTGCCTTGGAGCCCCACTGACCATGGACTGAAACCATGAGCAAATTAAACCCTGTTCCTTTAAGTTCTGAGTGTTGGGTATTCTGTCTCAAGCAACCAATACAGAAAGC